AGCCTGTGCTGCAGGGTCAGAAGACCAAGCAGTCATAAGATCGAATCCACGAGACGGAGTGAGCGCCCGTCGCTTGTCCCAGCTCCCGCCAACCTAGCGGTTCGAAAGCATGCAAATGCAAGTAGATCAATAGGGACCACTTCGGTGGGAAGGTAACAGCGTTCCGTGTCTAAGTCGCACTGGCCATGTGACCACGGAAGATTGTCTTCGGACAAAACGCTGGCTCTATGGCTTGGAAACGGGGATGAGCACCGCCCCCTAGAGTCGAACACGACTGGACAAAAATTGTCAAGGGGAACCTTTACCTTTACCTTTACCTATGTACAGATAGGAACTGCAACACAATATTGCATCGTACTCCATTCCTGAATGGAGAGTTCCAGTTCAGGGTTCTAGTCAGCCGGGAACAGGAGCTTTGCAGTGCCATTCAAGCTTCCTGGGCAAGAGAAGATGGTAACATTTCTCCCCCCTCCCTTTCTCATTCTTGGCAAGCCTTCTTTTATTGTGCCACACAATGCTACATGGTTGCTGTACAGCAGGAAGGGATGACACACAGTTCAGGAAATTAATTGTACAGTATCTCTATATAGTGCAATATGGAAGAAGAGGGGATTCCCAGTGTAGAGTAATGCATAGATTGATGGATTAGGAGTGGACTCTGAAGAACAGGGTTCGAACCCCCACCTGGCCATGGAAACTGACTAGGGGAGTAGAACTTGTAAAACCATCCCTTAAATAGCTCTCTTACCTTGAAAACCATAATAGGGTCACTATAAGTTGGTTTTGACGTGAAGGCACAGAGCACACACATATAGTGCAAGGAAGATTCTTTTAACCTCAGGATATACATTCCCTCAACCCTTACCTCCCCCTCTTAAGGGCACGTAATCATCATCATCATGTGCCATCAAGTCAAGTCTGACTTATGGTGACCCTTTTCAGGGTTTTTCAGGTAGGGAATACTCAGAAGTGGTATACAAATATACCTAGTATTTAACACCAGTCAACAGGGCCCTCTTTCTCACACTGCCATATTTTGGGGGAATTATACAGAAAAATAACTAATGATCATTGCAGAACTGTACTGTAGCATATTAATGGAAGGACCAGTGGAGTGGACAGTCAAAGGGCTACCCAACTCAGCAGTACTGAACGAAGACATTCTGTAGCCCCAGGTTCTAGTAAGAGGCCTCATTGAAGAACACCATGTGTACTATTCTAAGAGAAACAGAAGTTTGGTGACTTTTTATATTCCAAGAGCCTTCATTTTAAAAAGCCCCTAAGCTGTCGCTTCCTTAACTATAGCTTCCTTCTGTTGAGAAGAAAAGCTAGGGGCATGAAAGTGTCTTTCTTCATAGAGCACGCGTGGTCTGAGTGTATTCTTTGTGTTCTAGAACAGGAAAGCAGGTAAGTCAGACCAACCTCAACAACTATTCCTCCCCATCAATCACAATGTCTTTGACACGATCTATCATGCTTCCCTTTGCTCAAGACTATATGTGGCACATGCGCAGGTGAGTGTAAGTGCACACATGCGCATGCACGCACACACACACACACACACACACAGAGTCACAATGGGCATTATATCTCCTGGCAGCATGTGTAATATCATGTTGGGATGAGCAAAACAGCTGGGATCAAGCATGTATGCTAGAGAAAATGATGCTGACTGCTTTAGCAATGCAAAATATTCTGGCAGCCGGACACACACACAAACATACCAAAAAAAGAGGAGTAAAACGTATCTTCATCATTAACACTATCATCACCATAGTTGTTGCCGTCATCATTTAACTTTATAGAATACCTTTTACCCAAAATGTTCCTGGAAAAAAAGATTAACTGGTAGGATTTTTACTTTTTTGTCAGTGGGCAAACATGTCACGCTCCCCACCTACAGCTCAGCTGCAGGGGACATGCTTCCCTTGCATGGAGAGTTTGATCCACCACATGCTGCAGGCAAGTGGACATTGCTAACCTTTCACCTTGCCTCACTCCTTCGTAAAGGGAAGCTCTGGATGTGTAAGACTAGACCCACTACAGGGAGTGATGGAGCCATGAAAGAAATGGGTCAGGGTAGGTGGGTTTACCTCTCCTAAAATAAAGAACACAACTTTAATAGTCTTCCAACCTACATTACACATCTGTATTTTGCCGCTATGTACAGATAGCATATGGACTCTTTAGGTTCATACCCACTAAACAATGGATTTGGTTCAGGCAAGGATAGAGTGACTAATTCAGACAGTTTGAGGAACATATCCAGAAGACAAATACCGCTTTTAAAGTGCCACAGAAATTCAGACAGGGCACAATGAGTTGCAGTGACTGCCAAAAGGAAATGATTGTAGGAAAATGCTTTTCCCTGAGGCAGTGTTGCTGTGATCAGGAGACTGAACGCTCCTTCATAAGAGTCTTCATAATAAACCATATACAAATAAAAAGATTTGCCTAAACAAAGCTTTGTACCTTGCCATTTAGACTCCAAAAGAGCTTTTTCTTCCTCTAGTCTTCATGTTCCCAATTTCATAAACTGTTCTTACTTTGGAAATCTGTTCTGGAACGAATTATGCCTGAACTCCCGTTGCACAATTTGCTGCAGTGACTAAACTAGGGCTGTCTAATTTGGGGCACATCATAAGAAGATAAGACTTGTTAGGAAAATGCCATACTGTAATATTAGGAAAAGTTGTATACAGTATATATGTTGTAAACTGCCCAGAGTGGCCTCGGACAGATGATTGGTATAAAAATTAAATATTTTTTAAAAATGTAGATAAAAAAATTATGGATCTAGGATATCACCTACCCCTTAAACGTCTTTGATAAAACAGGGCTAATATAGAGGCAGCCACTCATGTACATGCACACACACCCCAACTGTAGAAGGCCCGTGTGTTGAAGGAAAGCTTACTTTCTTGAAGTAACAAGATACACTGCTATGAAGCAAGGCAAGGTATATGGCCTAGAAGACTGTAAATCTGAAGTGCTTTCAGTGGTGACAGAAAACAGATAAGCCTATTTGTCTCCAGGGCCCTGTGGACATCACCCTGAAATGAATGGGACCTGCCAAAGACCATGGCATACTCCAGATCTAATCAGTGGAGAGAGTGGGCTCCCATTTGGATTCCACATACACCCATTCCCATGTTTCTTCTCTGCAGGTGCTGTTAAGGCTACCTCAAAGAAATTACCAGGGGATAAAGATAGTGTACCATGGATGTTAGCAACGAAATAGAGCAAAATAGTGCCTTCACAAAACGAGAATCGCCTCACCTCATCAGAGTACTGTACAAATCTACCAATCTGCCTCTGAAGTCTGCAACCAGGGGAACAATGGCCTGCATGAAGTACTTGAATACTGTATTTCTCTCAAGACAGAAGGTGTTTCCAGAGAAAGTTTTACTGTTTAGCACACTGCTACATTCACTGTGTTTCACGAAGAGTCTGGATATTGCCTGCTTGTGCTTTCCTCCATCTTCCGCCATCATTTTTTTCATATCAGAAAAAGTCTGTTATGGTATGGCAGGGGTGGTGGAATAGGATAGATGCAGGATGTCTTCTGAGAGCTAGCAGTATTGTAACTCCAAAAATGTTCATATTTAGTTTAGTTTAGCAGCATTTGACTTCTCCTCTACTAATTATGTTGTCTGGAAAAACCCATCAGGAAGGCAAACTCTCTGTCTTCCTTTATAAACAAAAAGCAGATATCAAAAGAGGCACTCTTAATTTAGTTCTCTCAGATCTGGGCAGACCTCTGTGTATACATATTCACCTTACATCATGTTATGTATTGATTCTGAGTGGTCACATACAAGCCTTCCAAGACCTCAGGTGAGGTCTAAGCCTTTCACATTGCGAGTTCTATTAGGAGTTCTATTCTCCACTGTGCATCCCAAAAGTCAGCCTATGTGGCTGTGGGCAAACTTCATAGCCCCAGGGTGCCCCCCCCCAGAAGAAGGGATAAACCATTTACAAAAACGCTCCACCTAGAAAACTCTGGAAAGGGTTGCTATAAGTCAGAATTCACTGGATGGCATAAAATTATTATTAGCCTTTTAGGCTGAGATGAAAACCAGGCCACATGGCCCTGCTGACAACTTGCTCTCGTAGGGCCTGGTCACAAAGCCTCTCTCACAGAAAGTAGCCCACCTTCTTCTGTACCTGTTGATGTAGACAAACCTGGCTTTGCTACCTGGACTTTATTTAGGGCCTTTGCTACTCCTTATACTGTACGCCTCTTCCATCTTTCTTGCAGAAATCTCTACTGCTCTTCGTTTTCATTTCAAATGGTAAATCTCACCTCCTCCTGTTTGGGAGCAGAAACAATGTAGCAATAACCCCTCCCCTCCCCCACTTCACAGTCAAAACGAAATCTACACATCGGTCCACCAGCACCGTACACCTTTATAAACTCAACCCAGTGACAAACAAGAGACGAATACTCCCCACCCACACGTGTATGATCACATTGCAATTACTTCCGCAGAGGCATGTTAAGCTTTTTGCTGTGAGAGGCAACTCTACAAGTACAGGCCCAAGGAACTCCTTGATCTGATTGATCCTCAGTATCCTGTAATCTCTTGTGATTCTTTTCCATTTGCCCAACTCACAAATATACACTAGATGGAATGAATACCACAGGCATGGTTGTCCTCCACTTTGATCTCCTTGCCATTAATCCTTTCCAAGCTGCCTGAATTCTGTGGCATCTGATTCCCCCACCCCACCCCACCCCACAGAACATGCTGATAAAATACTATGCCATTTCAACACAGAGATGTACTTGGGGAGAACGAGCGAGACAGAAAGAGAGAGAAGCTCTGAATCTCCTCAGTGACTAGTCAAGGTTTCATGATTTCTCTTGAAGGTTTCTGGTGAAACTACACACAAACACACACCCCTCCTTTCACAATGGGAAGAATGAACCCATTCTACACAGCTGCTCAGACACATTTCCCATGCTTCCCCATCCCTCAGCAAGGTTCTTGACTCACCTGAGACATTTGAGGCCGCAGATTGATCTCCCGCAGGTTGACGGCGTGAGGCATGAGGTTGTTGAGCAGCTGACAAAGGAGGACCCCATCCCGCAAGGCCTGGGCTAAGTCACAGACCTGGGCGCTCTCTAAGGTCACTCTGTGGTTGGGGGGCAGCACCCGGCACTGGATAAGCCAGCCGGCACACTGCCTCCACAGCTCCATCCCCCTGCAGCCCTCACTCAAGGGCCTGCTCCACTTGCTGTGAAAGGCACTCTCCACTGCCAGCAGCAGCACCCGCAGCAGTCTTAGCAGCCTTCCTCACGGCTGGGAAACACAAGTGCAGGCGACAGTTTCCTCTTTTGCAACTGACATCAGACCACAAAGGGCTATGGGGGCTGGGCTGGGGAGCTTCCTCACCCCACCCCTGGGGAGGATGGGCTGAAGGGGAAAAAACAGCTCTCACTCCCTGAGAAACATTTGCTTTCCTTCTTTGCTGGGGAGTCTAACATTCAGTAGCTCCTTACAACGAGAGGTCTTTCTTTGCTAGCCTTTCCTTGTGCAGGCAAGGCGAGCTGTTTCTTAGGCAGGGCCGGCCTTGCTTTTCAGCAAGGTGAAATGGCTTTGCCTCAGGTGGCCTACTTTGAGGTGAAACAAAAGGGACCAAAACATCTTGGGATGTATTTTTATTTCATTCTATTTTTATTTTCTTGGCAGGTCACACATTTCCCTTCCATTTTGTAGGCTGCCCTCGCCGCCCCCCTTTGAGTTTCCCATTTGTCAACACCACCCAGAATGGGGTTTGGGCTCTTGTAAGAGAGGCGACGAGCGCACAGCAGTCACCGTCTCTTCAGACTGTCATGTTTCCATGTTCAGCTTGCCCGTGGAGGACCTAAACTACCACACTTCTCTCAGGCTCTACTGTGTTTACTGAATGACCGAAGAGCGCTTCGTAGTTCTAATCGCTTGTGTGAAGTTATAGACCAGTGTGAAATGATTGGCAGAAATTGTGTATTTGCACATGTCTGTGAGAATGAGAGGAAGCGGTACAATTTGGAATCATGTGGTGGAAAAGACAGTTAAAGGAGAGTGTAGTGTGACTGGAAAGCAAATAAAAAATGACAGGATGAAGAGTGAGTGTAAGGGATCAAATATGGTCAGTTATTATCAGCATACAGCTTTAGGGTAGAATATTGTTTACATATGATAATCTCTAAATAACAATTTCTCTCCTGGAGGCTGATGAATAGTCAGTTATATTACTCTATATTTCCCTGAGACTGTAAAATATCTATCTATCTATCTCAAAGGAAACATATATATAAATGTTTCCTTTGATAAACCACAAATATTGTTTAGCCAGAAATAGATAGTCAATGGTGAATAATGAAAGGAACTGATACATTCACTGAAATCTTAGGTCAGTAAAAGGGAAAACCGTAGTACCAGGATATACAAAATATAATGCTCTTTACTCAGGTATAAAATGCCAGAGGTGTTTTGGCCTGTCAGCTTTCTTCAAGGGCTGTATAACATTAAAAGAATTATAATTACATCATTATAACTTACTAGGGAAAACATCATATAAATAAATTAATATATCCATAATTCTACAGCACAGTCATAATTTTAAACTGTATTGTTATGTTAATTAATAATATTCTTGTCTAGAGTACTGCACCAATATGTTAAAATTAGGACAGACATTAAAAGAATATTTCATTTACCGGTAATCTGTACTCATAAATGCGCATGCTGTGTTTATTTAACTCTAACTAGCTCTTTTTCTGTTTATTCAGTTTGTGACCAACTCCATTAAATAAATTCTAATACAAAATGAAAAAAGGCCTGTATATACACATTTTCAAGGCCAGCTGTTATTCAACGTCATGCTGTTATCATTTTAACTGCTGCTCTGCAAACATACTGAAGTGGAAGAAACAGAGATATACCGTATTTTTCGCACCATAAGACGCACTTTTCCCCCACAAAACAGGGGGGTGGAAAGTCTGTGCATCTTATGGAGTGAAGAAAACAGATTAGATTTTCCTGTTTTCTTCTCCTAAAAAATGGGTGCGTCTTATGGAAAGGTGCGTCTTATGGAGCGAAAAATACAGGTAATTAGAGCCAAAAAAAAGAACATCTATTACTTCATTTTATCCTTTAGGGACAAATGTGTTTAATTTTACTATCCAGTCTATTTCTTTCATAAGAAGTGATTTGTCCTGCATTGTGTCAACCTTTTTTGGGACTGGAAGACAGATACAACAAGCAAAAGAGACACAGACACACCAGTAGAACCAGAATGAGACATACACTGGAAGTATCTCCTCCAGTCAGATTCACCAGGAGTTGACAACAGTTGATTTGTTCCACAGTGGAAAAGAGTGTCCTGGAAAAAAGACAAGAGCTTCCTAGTTAAAACTCTCTTTTTTTTACCTAACACAATGGTTAATGGTACCAAAACATACTTTATAAAGTTTTTATACTGAGAACTGTAATCTGCTTAAAGATTCTGGTGGCAGAAACAAAGAGTGTGAAGGCATTTGCCTGAGGTGGTGATTTAAAATACCCCATCCTTATTGATTGGCAGCATTACTATATATAATAAATTACATTACTTTATACACTGATTTTATTGGTATTTCCCCCACAGAATAAATTCCTATCTTGATTAGTACCATCCCCATGATTCCCCATGCATTTTTGTCCCTATATAAAGTAAGATTTATTTTCTGTCTTGTTTTGTCCTGGGGATGGAGTTTATCTCTATGGCACTTTTCACTGGAGTTCATGTTTATGGCAAGAGCTTCCAGTTAGAAGTCATCAACTAGTACTCAAAAGCAATACAGTATAAGCTTTATACAAGCACATATACCCAATCATGCTTAATGAAATGGCTGCTGGTGATGGTCTCTTCTTCTAACCACTGCTGTTGCTGCCACAGCTGCTTCCTCATCTTCTTACTACAGCCATGCCTCAGCCAGCTATGTGAATAACGCCTAGCCCGAAGGGTTCTTGGTGTCAGGTATTATTCACTTGGGTATCTAAGAGGTGTCTGCCTTTATTGAGGCAGGAAGGTGGCAAAGGCAAGAAGAACGTAAGTGTTGCACTCTTTTACCGTCTTTTCATCATGAGTGGTACACTGTGATGGGGAGGGGCTTCTCTTTCCATTTCAAGCAGCATGAGGGCTTGCATCAGTACCATTTTGCAGGGGAGGGGGCAAAGTGTAGTCTTTATAATTAAAACAATTGTAAATTGCCCAAACTGTTTTAAGAACTATGGTATATAAGCAGCACACTTTACTTTTTTTGCTTTAATTGTCATTCTAGGTCTAAAGGATATATAGTAGGTATCTTATTGCTCCTTTTTCAAAAGGGTAATTTGGGCTTCTAACTCAGCTTTCCTTTTGCCTTCTCCGAATCCAGGGCTGGGTGAACTGTATCCAAGGATATTGAAGGAACTGGCTGAAGAGTTCGCAGAACCACTATCATTTTATTGAAATCATGGAGGAGGGGTGAAATGCCAGATGGTTGGAGGAGGGCTAACATTGTCCCTATCTTCAAAAAAGAAGGAACCAGGGTACTATATGTCAGCCTGACATGAATCCTGGGGAAAATTCAGGAGCAGATTAAAAAGTAATCACTCTGCAAGCACATTGAAAACAATGTAGCAACAACTAGCTGCGAATATGGATTTGTCAAGAACAAATCCTATCAGACTAATCTTATCTAATTTTTTTTCCCTCAGATAATGTCCCTGGGAGTGCTGTAATATATCTTGACTTATGCAAAGCCTTTGACAAAGTGCTTCATGATATTCTGATAAGCAAGCTAACTAGGTGTG